GCCTTGGCCTGAAGGAGAAGGCTCCAGCAGTCCCTTATGCTCCCCCCCTCCCCTCCTCCTCCGTCACAGGTGACTGTTGGAGGTCCCAGCTGGCTTGCTCTTGGCTGATTAGATCCATATGGTACAGGAGGAGGGAAGAAAACTTGGTTAATGTTCAAATCTATTGCTGTTGTCTGTTCTTCAAGTTCATTATTATTATTATTATTTTTTGTTTGTATGTGAATATTGTTAAGGCTGTGGGTTGTAAAATAGTGTGCATAGAAAGTGTTCATTGGATTAGATTTTAAATCTTTAAAAACATCAGTACTTTTCAAAAAAGGGACTGAATGTTTCTCTTTTATTAAAAGCTTGTTCCTCTTTTGTACTTAGTATATTTACACTTCTGACTGTTTATTACTAAAACTTAGGGGATATCGTTTTTCCCCAAATATTTTAGCCACTATCTCATAATTCAGATGTTAACTTTAGGTAAAGATTATTAAATTGTCCACATATTTTATTGTCGTTCATTAGGGGTGCACCAATTCCAGTTTTCTTGTCGATCTCCGATCTCTGATCTTTAAAAAATCTGACCTGCCAATTCCGATTTTGGCCGATACTGATTTTTTAAATAGCTGACACTGTCAGTTGTTATAAAGTAGGGGTGTAAATCACCAGCTTTATCATGATACAATATTACATCGATATGTGTGAATGACAATTAGATATTTCTCTTTTTCACAAAGTCTGTCACGATATGATTTCGATTCAATTCAGTTTACATGTCTGCGATCGATATAATGCAATATCATGCCCATCTAACACAATGACTGTTAGATGGGCATGTGATATCAATTCACATTGAGCATAGGATGACAGTATAGATCAATATTTTTCAATTTGCCTTGATATAACTGAATCATGAACCATTCAAATTGATATATCGATATAGATTGATGTATTGTCACACCTCTATTATAAAGTCACAATAAAACTTCAAAATTCAAATGCTATTTTACTGAAATACTTTGAACAGTACCCTTTTAACTGGATATTAGGTAGTGCTCACAGCAGAGCAAAAGAGGATATTGGCTGATTTTCAGACCTTTGTGGAAGTAGAAAGGCTGATCTCTTCCGCCGATCTTCTCCACTGATCTTATCTAAAAATCGGTCGATTTCCCAAAAGAAAGGAAATCGGCTGGCCAATTTTCAGTGCACCCCTACCTTTCATAGGAAGAGGCACTTGGAATATCCTATACCAATTCCCTACAGTCCCAACAGTTCTTTGTCATATTGATATTATTGACAGCAATGACACTGCAATGAAGGGATGTTGTGAATTCCTACTAAACAATCTACTAAATGTGACCAACACATTAACCACAGTTTGTAACACATTCTCACTCCCGACTCGTCACATATTGACGCTTTTCCAATCTTCCCTCTGCGTCTTATTTTGACGCATTGGGTACACCCGTCGCATCAGTTTTTGACACACCAGGCATTTCCGGGTTCCCTCGGCGTCCAGGTTTGACGCATTGGGATGCAAAATAAAGAGGTCTTTGAGTTGGGGTCCATGGTTAATATAAGGGATCAGGGTTAATGGTTAATTTTAGGTAGTGGGGTCAAGGATAGGATGTCTAGGGTGAATATTAAGTCATTTTAGGCTTTGGAACACGTAGTTGATGTGAATTTCCTACACTTTATAAAAATGGTTAATTTTAGGTACTAGGGTCAGGGACAGGATGTCTAGAGTGAATAAAGGTCAGTTTAGGCTTTGGGAAGGTTAATTTTTGTGCATTTTCTACACTTTCTGCAATTATGACAACAGATTCCACCCCATCTTGTCAATAACTGACGCGAGGAGGGTACCCGACACGTCAAAATCAGACGCAGAGGAAACCTTGGAAAAGTTTCAATATGTGACGACTTGGGCGTGAGAATGCGTTGCAGTTTGCTGTGTTTCTACAACTTTAAAGGTGAACTCAGAGCTGTTGCATGTCTAAATGTGTTTGTAGATGTTAAACTGAAGTCATACAGAATCATTCCATTCCACATCCCTTGATTTTTGTTTATTCTCAGTGATAAATTAGGCATGCCTGTGTTGCATCTTCCCTCACCTCATCTGTATGACAGGGCAGAGATAGCAGAGAGCACACCGGGCCAACATGAATGTCTCACAGCTGCCAGACCTTCACAGAGTTTAGATTTAAGAGTTAAAACAAGAGCTTAATAAACCCTAACACAGAACACATGTATTTAAACATCACATCAAGTGTGATTTATGTCTGCCGACACAAAGTAAGTTGTTCACCTTCTTGTGTTACATTGGAGATAAATCAAAGGTCTTGGAGAATTATCTTTTCATTTCTGATTTCTATGCACTGGAGTTGTGTAGTGGCCCAGCTTAAGCAGACATTTTCCTTTTTGCTGTCTTCTACTTGTTTTTGCCTTATTTTGAATCATCGCCTGCAGAAGCAAAGTCAATTAAAGCTGGCTGAATGTTTTAATGCAGACGAGCGTCATCTGAAGCTGAACAAACAAGGAACACCTGGCTAGCAACAGTCATCACCATAGATGCATTTTTACTTTTCCATCGCTCCAATAAACAGCTGTTTTAGACAGCAAACACGTGGAACCAAGCAACTTGCACATTTACTTTAATTAATATGTTATAGATCCTTGAGGAGGGAGGGAAGAATAACAAAGAATATGACAAACCTTTATGTTAGGTCAGCAACAGATGTCATAGGCACTTTGAAAATGTGAGGTTGAATCCTCACAGACTCTGTGTTTAAGGTTCAATTTCTATATTAAAATTGCATCCACTTTTACTTCAAAGATAAATCAACCCATTCTCACTCCCAAGTCGTCACATTGACGCTTTTCCAAGGTTCCCTCTGCGTCCGATTTTGATGCAGAGGGTACCCCCTGCGCGTCAGTTATTGACGAGATGGGGCGGAATCCATTTTCATAATTTCAGAAAGTGTAGAAAATGCACAAAAACTAACATTCCCAAAGCCTAAAATGACCTTTAATCACTCTAGACATCCTGTCCCTGACCCTAGTACCTAAAATTAACCATTTTTAGAAAATGTAGGAAATTCACATCAACTATGTGTTCCAAAGCCTAAAATTACCTAATATTCGCCCTAGACATCCTATCCCTGACCCCACTACCTAAAATTAACCATTAACCCTGATCCCAAATATTAACCATGGACCCCAACTCAATTTTGTGCCCCAACGCGTCAAACCCGGACGCCGAGGGAACACGGAAAAACCAATGCAAAGGGTGTACCCGATGTGTCAAAATAAGACGCAGAGGGAACCTTGGGAAAGCGTCAATATGTGACGTGTCGGGAGTGAGAATGTGTTAGATAAATCTATACATTGTGAGCATTTTGATAAAATCCTACCTATGTGTGATGAGGAGCTTTGTGCATTTTCTCTTTGTTTCATTACAGCGAGGACGACAGGTGGCATTTAAACCAAACACCCCACATCCTCCTCTAAGCCAATATTCACCAGAGTTAAAATTGGACGACTTTGTGCACTCTCTGCATGTGTGTTTTGTGGTTTGCAGTGACAGCCATCTCCCTTGAAAGTCCAGTGACTAATATCTGATGGACTCAGGTGCTTGGAAGCCAGATGAAGTCATCCAGCTATGTATGCCGTCTAATTGACAAGCAGAGGCAATTCTCTGTGGGCTGTCAGCAATGCATGCTCACACACCTGATGTCTCCTGTTTTGGCCATTACCTCTGGCGTGACCGACGACAGACTCTGCCACGTCTTAAGATTGTGTGAACACAGCTGCAACCTAATTTTTCAGTTCCCTGCCAGAATAGATCACACAATAAGTAATTGTTGTCATCCATTTTAATTTAGTGGCATTCTGTGTAGCTGTGTGTCAATTGCATTTGGCTTTTATAAGCATAAAACTTCATTTGAATTATAAAAAAATTAAGTTATTTTCTGCAGAAGACCTCCAAATGTGTCAAATAAAGACGTTGCAAATAGATTTTAGCTCAAGTTGAATACCAGAATCATAGTTATTGTGTGTGTGTGTACAAAAATTGTTTACATGGTAACGGTGTTGACTCTAAGGCCATATGCCCCGTTGATTCTCTTATTGAGATGTCAGTCTAATTTCCTGGCCATACGGATGGAGTGTGCAGAGCTTTGGAACCGGTGTGTGCGTGCGTGCCGCAGGCTGCTTCCTGCGGTGCACTGGCAAGACCGCATGTGTGGTGGGTATGGCAATCCAAATGTCTGCATAGATCCCTCCTTCCTGCCCCCTGTGTTGGTGAACAGGTGGAGCGATGGCAGGCAGGCTAGAGGGCTGAGAGAGAAAGGAAGGGGAAGAGGCAAAGGGAAATGTTGAAAAGGTTGAAGAGGACTGCAAAAGCAAAAAAGGGAGAACAGTCAAAGCTGTATAATGAGTTGTAGACTTGACAGATGAGTTGCACGGGGCATACTCAAGAGAGTTTGCGGATAGGACACAAAAGGCAAACAGGGCTGAGAGATATGTCAAATTTGTAACAAGGGTACAGGCTCATTTTTAGATGTATTTATTTAGTCATTTAATATTCCTCTGCCCTTTTTATCTATTAATTTGTGTCTATTTTGTTTTGTGCAAACAGAAATAACACATGCATTCAACAGAATTCTTAAATATTCCTTTTGCAGTACCTATTGATAAACCCTCCATTTTAACCCTTTATAAACTAGAACCCTATATAGCTCAAGGCCATCAAGAGTTCATAGCTGTGAAAAAAGATATAAAGGGCACTTTTGAACTCTTAAAACCATGAAACCGCATTTTAAAAGCTGCTTTCTTCTGACCTATGACCTTTGAGACCATGCTTGTCTATTAATCGTCGATTCTTGAAGCAGTTAGAAAAGTCTGATCCACTCTAAATGGAGACAGGACCAAGCTTTCATGGATCTCCGGGAGACAAAGGCCGCTTCTGATCCCACATCTCCCCACTACCACACCCCTGTTGCGCTTTCTCCAAACCCCTTATCTGGTGGTCTCATTCAGCGTCAATAGCATATTGAGGAGTTGCATTTAACATTCAAAAGCTTTGCCGATCTTGTTAGTAAAGCGTGAAATAGCTCCGTCCCTTTCTCTCTATGTGTCTCATTTCTTTCTTTGCCCCCTCTATTTGCTGGGCTTCTCAATGAGGGGGCATTCTACTCCCACACAATAGACTTCTTCAGCATTTCTTCTGTTATTGATCTGAATGGGTGAAAGGGGCTAAACTTTAGACATCTGGTTCTTTGATGGGGGCAGGGCAGTTGATGCCATGGCAGTATGTGTTGTATGATGTGAAGTGGGTTTGGGTGCGATGGGGAGGTGTCACACTTGGTTTTCTTTTGCTGCTAAAGACCTAAAAGCTTTTGCATTAATTTAATTTAGTGAGCTGATAGTTAAGCTGGCCTTCTTTTGTTTGTTTGTTACTCTTTTTGTTAGAATGGTTTTAGCTGAATTTACATTTCTGTGTGTTGCTTAATCGTTAATAAAATATACATAATCTTTCGTGTATACTTTCAGCCAAGTCATTATGAGACGCATTTATTTAAAGGGGACAWATCATACAAAATCCAAATTTTTTAGCCATTAAATGCTTTTTGTTGTGTACTTGGAGTCTTTAAGAATGCAGAAAATTGGAATTTAGTCTCACCAGGTGCTGTAAAAATATCTTTATATTTCATATAGGTAATATTTTTCAACCTGTTCAATTTTTTTTCTGTGACATTGTATGAACTATTAAATCACAGTATTTGTAACAGAACTGACAAAAGGTCTGGAGTTACCAACACCATTGTGGTCATCTTCATTTTTCTCTGGATCTGGGTCAGACTCCGGCTCCAACATGTAAGGCTGATTGGACAAGTTTTCTGTTGTTGACATCTTTTAATCAATTTGTGAATAAAACGTTTGATGTCTCTGTCAAACTAGAATGCATCACTCTGGATGCTGTAGTGGGGAGAGGTGTGAGGCACCTCATTTGAATTTAAGGAGACAGCAACAAAACAAGTCGCTTTGACACAAACTTCCAAAAAGTGGTGAAAGAGAAGCTGGTAGTTTCAACAAGTTGCACTAAGGAGGAATTCAGACCAAATATAGCAGTTCCACTTTATAGAGACTCCAAATGTATGATTTAAATGTGAAACAGAAGAATTTAAAAGATGATATGAATGTCTCCTTTAAATACTAAGTTTTTGCTTTCTTCTGCAGACAGTAGAGAGAAGAAGAGCCCTGCCATGCCCGGTTCGCCTGTGGATGCTAAGACTCATTCCAGATCAGCCCCCAGCAGCAGCTCCAGCTCCACTATGCCACCCCTGCCCTCTGTCAACCCCAGTGGCCCTCGACCAGCCTCCTTTTCCACAACAGCATGTAAGACCAATTCCAAAGCCACTATAAATTGTATTGTTTATTTGCCCATCTTTATAAGCCCATCATATTTATCTTTTACAACCTAAAATTGCTTGCCATTTTTAACTTGTCACTTCTTTCTAAAAAAATTGCTTCACAGTGTTGTGTTGGAAGAAGAAAAAAAATCACATAGTCACAGCCATCAGAATTTTATTCTAATTTCAGCTCTCTTTATCTCACCTCCACTCCCTCAGTGTCCAATGGGAATCATCATTCCCCACCAACCCTGAATGCAGTGCCATCTCCACCACAGCGTTACAGCAACGGACCATCCTCCTCCTCGTCCTCGTCACTAGCTAATCAACAGCTGCCGGCCACCTGTGGGGCTCGCCAGCTGAGCAAGCTGAAACGTTTCCTGACCACGCTGCAGCAGTTTGGCAACGACATCTCTCCGGAGATTGGAGACAGCGTCAGAAGCCTAGTTCTGGCCCTTGTGGTAAATCCTTTGATGTTTAAAGAAGAGAAGAAAGCTCGTAGAAATCCAGCTATTCGTTGCTTTCATAACCTTGCCTTTTGCCTGTCTCCTAGAATTCAACAGTTACCATTGAGGAGTTTCACACACGTCTTCAGGAGGCCACCAACTTTCCCCTACGACCCTTTGTTATTCCTTTTCTCAAGGTAAATATGACCTCTCTGTGGGATAGGCTCCAGCCTGGCTACCCTGAACAGGATTAGGTGTGTTACAGAAAATGGACGATTTGAGGGAGTGTTTGCAGAATACAAAGCAGCCTTCAATCATTAGCCTTTTGTGTAGTTTTTGATACCTGAATAGATTTGTTTATTAATTGTTTACCAATCAAATTTCCCTTTCAACGTTACAAGCAGAAGATGAGTGTGTGCTAAACAATCTCTTGAAGCCCTTTGTACTGGGGGAGTTTGCAACACTATACTTTTTAGGAGCTCACCTCAGTAAAGCAGCCCATAAATCTTCACTGAGTTGTTCCTCTGTACTTTAAACACTCAAAATGTCTTTTTCCACACTTACTTCTTACTTACCCCTGGAGGCCCTCCATCTGTCCGTCTGAGGCTGAGACAAGAATCCTCTGTTCACCTTTTTTCCCACTAACTTTTCGCACAGTTGTGTGCTCTCCTCAACCTAATCCCAACTTTGTAAAGCATAAGAAAGAGATGGGACAGATGGGATGAAATCTGTAAGGAAGTGGAAAAAGAGCAAGAGGTGGGCAAGGAGGGGAGAAGGAAAAAATGGGAACTCGGAAGTGTGAAACATGCCTATAAAGTGTTTCCTTCTCTTTTTATGGTCTCCAGTGCGCCATATGGAGCCGCTGTCCCTTTTTTTTAAAAGAACATTCAGCTTCCAAGGTGCCGCCAATCCAGCATCCGCCCCACTGAACCCCAGAGAGAGCTACTCTCTACTGACACACAGCACATGTCTGCTAGCTGGGGCCCCAGGGAAAGATGAGGGGGAAAAAAGAACATGTAAAGGAGCATGGGAGATGGGGAATGGGTGTTGTAGAAGAGTAAACCACAGAGCAGAAGTTTTGACACCTTTAATGGGGACGTTCAAGAAATACCATGAGCTTCAATGAACAGGACCATAAAAGAAAATGTTAGACTCAGAGAAAAAGAAGTGTAGTTTTACAAAATCCTAAAACAGTGGTTAAAAGTGCGCTATCATAAGATGAGGTCAGTCCTAAAATGAGAAGGGTATGGTTATTTATTTGGTTGCTTACCAAGACGAAGTGGAGGGGGCGAGGAAGTGAAGTAATTGCAAACACACTGGAGTCTGTTCCTAATTAGGGAAATGCAGGGAACAAAAGCAAGATGGAAAGATTCGACAGACAGACACAGTTAAATATGTACATAAGTATATAAAAATGAAGAGGGGGGAGGGTGAAGAATAGAGTTTGTGCATCATTTGTTTGAAATGTTTTGTAGCCTTGGTACCATCGTGCATACTTTTACTGTAACCAACATATTATGCTGAGAAGTTGTTCTGTGTGAAAGCCTAGAAACCAACACCAGTGGCAGTTTTCCCATTTTCGTTTGAATTAGGAAAGCCGCAGCCTCTATGGAGGCAGCCACCAAGCAACACCCAAACCAAAGTCAGGCTCCCTGTTTAAAAATATTTTTCTTCTTTAGAACACAGATTTACACTGTTGCTTTTAAGACAAACTTATGGTAACCACTTTTGTAGAACCAGTGTGTAGATATAAGCACAATTGTATTTATACAACATTTTACTCAGCCGCATTAAATCTTTACATCCATGAACATTCAGTTACTTCAAAGTTCTTTGACTTTTCTGCAGAAAATTTTGGTGATGTACAAGATGCTAGCATTTCTCTAGGGGTTTTTCCTCTCTTAACCACCCATCCGTATTGTTTTTCTGTTACGTCATCTACATTGCTATTTTTTCTTTTTTGAGTTTTGAGTTTTGAAAAAAAAGTACCTCTCTTGTAGTGCTTCACATCAATATACCTGAGTTCTGTTTCATACCTTTTTGGTTCAGCAAAGCTTGCTTCGTTTCTGAAAGCTCACGTCGGTTCAGATTGTGGTGGTTCGATTATTGATCTTTGTAGCCATTTTGCAGAACTGTTTTTTAAAGGGATCCATGATTAGTTGTAGCATTAGACTTTATTTGATAAACATATATTTTAACTGTAAAATAAAAACTGTAAAAATACTGTAGGCTGTTTAGTTTTTATAATATTTAAACTCAAAGTTTAAAAATATTATTACACAGACGGGGTCGTTTTATTTACATGCAAAGCATTCTGGGTAAATGATGACGTGGATAGGTCATTGGTGCGAGGCTGCTAGCGAGCTATATCCATCCTGAAGGTTAATCTTGGACAATATCTGACGATCGACTCTTTTAAATGAAACCAGAGAGCGTTGACAGAGAGGAGAAGGTAGAAATGACTCAGCCTGGAACTGAAAATATAGATGGAGGACCTCACTTTAGCTTGTTAGTTTATTGCGCTAGCGCCGAGCTAATACATATAAGGCAATATAGCATTGGCGCTAATGCTAAAGCTAAAAGGCTAAGCTGAGGTTCTTCTTCCATGAAGCAGCTCTGTTGTCCTCAATCTATATTTTCAGTTACAGGCTGTCATTTCTACCTTCTCCTCTCTGTCAACGCTSTCTGGTTTCATTTAAAAGAGTCGATCATCAGATATTGTCCAAGATTAACCTTCAGGGTGGATATAGGTCGCTCACACTGAGGACCTATCCACGTCATCATTTACCCAGAATGCTTTGTGTGTAACTAAAATGGCCCCATCAGTGTTAAAAAATATTTTTAAAAATGTACAAAACTAAACGGCCTACAGTATTTTTACAGTCTTTATTTCACAGTTAAAATATTTGTTTATCAAATAAAGTCTAACGTTACAACTAATCATGGATCCCTTTAAAGGGTATCATTTGTTACATCATATAAGCAGTCTTAACCCTTGTGTTTGGGTCCTTTTAAGTTTGGGTCCATCTGACCCGTTTTCTCGTTTTATTATAGCAAAATGTATAGAAGTAATTATTTTTTCAACCTAAGACACTTGGGCCTTGGGTCATTTTCTGTGAATAACATAATTCAGAAAAAAAAAAGATCACCAACTGTTCTTTATGGGGCCCAAAGCCCTGGCCCTATAAGAAGAGGTGCTGTTTTGGGGTTAGGTTTAGGACTGTGAATTAGGTTTAGTTCAGGTTTAGGGTAGAAGTCAGGATTAGGCTTTATAAATTAATGCAAAATGAATGGAAGTCAATGCAAAGTGTGTGTGTACATGTTTTTGCTAGCTGGTGAGGACAACTTTTTATCATTTTTGTGGTACACACACAGCCTTGTGGGGACCCAATGTGCTTTATGGGGACAAAAGCCCCATCCCCACTGGTAGAACTACTATTGATGGGTCAAAGGGTTAAGTTTAAGACTAATGTATGAATTAGGTTAGGTGTTAGGCTATAGAAATGTCTAGTAAATGAATGGAAGTCAGTGCAAAGTCCTCATAAGGACAGAAGAACAAACATGTTTGTGTGTGTGTGTGTGTGTGTCCGTCCTTTTTTTTCCTACATCGTGGGGTCCAGTTTTGAGGAAAACACAGCCTCGTGGGGTCCGGGTGCTCCTTACTTCAGAGGCTGATTTTGAGTGTGGGGGTTGGGTTTAGGACCAAGGTGTGAATTGAGTTTAGGTTAGTTTTAGGG